TTCCACGTAAGCGATCTGTCTCTAGACCACGAGAGACGGATAACCCCGACTGGTGCTGGTATCATAACCAGTATGGAAAGTTTTCCAGAAATTGCAGAAAACCCTGCAATTTTCCCAACACGAAACCGACTGACTCGAAAAACAACTCGGGAAACTTCCAAGCCGGCACGCGTTAACGGCAACCGTAGCCGGCGAACATAGCCGTCTGTTATATGTCACAGATGTGAGAACGAGAGTTCGCTACCTCGTCGACACTGGCGCAGAAGTTAGCGTTCTCCTAGCAAATCCTAACGACCGTCTTCACGAATCGACCCCAAACTTTCAGGCAGCAAACGGAAAACCGATCGCTACGTATGGCAAAAGGTACGTTTACCTTAACGTGGGTTTACGCAAACCCATTCACTGGATCTTCGTTACTGCAGATGTTTCTATGCTAATTATTGGTATGGACCTTCTACAACACCATAATCTGATCATCGATACGCGCGAACGGAGGCTAGTAGACGGAAACACTAAGTTGTCCGTTTGCGTAACTTCCTTCTCTGGTTGCAGATTATCCCCAGTCACAGTTAAGCATATGATAGCCCCACTTTATCAGCCACATCTCGATAAGTATCCTGAGATACAACAAACGCAACCGAGATTACCGTGTGTAACCAGCAACGTTATACATCACATCACGACTACAGGATCACCTGTATTCTCTAAAGCACGACGACTAGCTCCTGAAAAGCTAAGGTTAGCGAAAAACGAATTCGATCACATAATGGACTTAGGAATCATACGACCGTCAAGTAGCCCATATGCATCTCCGTTGCACATGGTCCCTAAAAAGGACAACAACGATTGGCGTCCAACTGGTGACTATCGGCGATTGAACGCGAAAACCATTCCCGATCGTTACCCGTTGCCTCACATTCACGATTTGACAGCTACCTTGAATGGTACAACTGTCTTTTCGAAAATCGACTTGGTTAAAGCGTATAACCAAATCCCTATGGCTACTGACGACATACCGAAAACAGCTATCATAACTCCCTTCGGACTCTATGAATTTTTGCGAATGCCTTTCAGTCTAAGGAACGCAGCTCAAACATTCCAAAGATTCATAGACGACGTTTTTCGAGGTCTCAACTTCGTACATGCGTATGTTGACGACTGCCTAATCGCAAGTCCGGACAGAGAAGCACATCTCAAGCATCTGGATCTTGTTTTCGAACGATTACAAAAACATGGCATTACTGTAAACGTTCAGAAATGCCGAATTGGAACCGACTCATTAGACTTTCTGGGACACACTATCGATGCTCAAGGTATCCAACCCCTTAGAACCAAAGTGGCGGCCATTCTGGATTACCCAGAACCGACCACCGTCAAGCAATTACGCACGTTTAACGGCCTCGTAAGTTTCTATAGACGTTTCATACCGAAATGTGCATTACTTATGAAACCTCTGACCGACCAACTTCGTGGAAATGCGAAATCCATTAATTTGGACGACACTGCACGAAAAGCATTCTCCACAGTTAAGTAACTGATTGCTAAAGCAACAATGCTCGCACATCAGGACACCCGAGCACCCATTAGCATCGCAGTAGACGCATCCGACTCGGCAATCGGAGGAGTCTTACAACAATGGATTAACAACTCCTGGCAGCCCTTGGAATTTTTCTCTAGAAGGTTGCTAGACACCAAATCAAGGCACAGCACATTCGGTAGGGAACTCCTAGCTATGTATTGTGATGTACGGCATTTCCAACACTATATCGAAGGCCGCGAATTCACTCTTTTCACGGACCATAAACCGCTCACTTTCTCGTTAAGCTCTCCTTCTGACAAGTACTCGGCTCGTGAGTCTCGACAACTGGACTACATTTCGCAGTTTACTTCAGACATTCAACACATCTCTGGAGCAAACAATGTAGTTGCAGACGCCTTATCTCGCATAACTTCCTTGAACAGTTTCCAAGGAATCGACCTTCTTAAACTCGCTGAGCTTCGAAAAGAAGACACTGATCTTCAGCACGAGTTATCGTCTACAACCCTTAAACTACGCGACAAACAGATGGGGACAGGTAAGGAAACCTTACTTTGTGACACATCTACAGGTAGGGATCGCACAATCGTGCCGAAACATTATCGACCCAATGTCTTCAACACATTGCATAAACTTTCGCATCCAGGTGTTCGTGCAACCATCAAGCTTATAGCAGAACGGTTTTGCTGGCCTGGAATGAATAAAGACGTGAGGGAGTGAGCACGCTCCTGTGTAAGCTGCCAAAAATCTAAGGTTATCAGACACAATAAATGTCCCTTGGGCTCGTTTAAAACTCCCGATGCTCGTTTCGACCATGTTCATCTGGATTTGGTAGAACCTTTATCAGATTCAAATGGATATTCTTATCTCTTAACCTGCGTAGACCGTTTCACTCGATGGCCAGAAGCAGTACCTATCAAGGACATCACTGCTGAAACAGTGGCCCGCACCTTCGTCGAGCCATGGGTAGCAAACTTCGACTGCCCATCAACCATCACTACAGATCGCGGGCGTCAGTTTGATTATGATCTTTTCCGTCGCCCGACCACACTTTTAGCAATCATTCGCTTCCGAACGACCGCCAACCATCCACAAGCAAACGGGTTGGTAGAACGTTTTCACCGACAACTAAAAGCTTCACTATCAGCTGCAAACGTTTCACAGTGGACCCACGCTCTTCCACTTGTCTTACTAGGTATCCGCAACGCAGTGAAAGCTGACATTGGATACACTTTGGCTCAACTCGTTTATGGAACGACACTTCGACTTCCAGGAGAATTCGTGGATCCTTCATCCTCTTCAATGAACATGGATCTAACCTCCTACACGAACAGGCTTACAAACGCAATGCGTTCAGTTAAACCTGCTTCCACCCGACCACAATCAACCGATGTTTTCGTTCAACCTGACTTACGATATAGTACACACGTTTTCGTTCGTCGATACTCGCATCGACGACCATTCGAATCAGCATACGAGGGACCTTTCAAAGTTCTTCAACGTGAATCTAAGCGCTATATAGTCGATAAGAACGGAACAAACGATAGCATCAGCATCGATCGCTTAAAAGCAGCGTATTTAGAAGGAAATCCTATCTACGTGGATTTTCCTTCGGTTCAATCGATCGACACGACTCCGAAACTTATAATACCTCAGCCGACAACCAACACACACGATGATACTTCGACAGTATCCGAAAATAAACTTAAAACGACGCGTTCTGGAAGAAGGGTGAGATTTCCAGAACATTTAAACGACTATTGCACGTGAGGCACTTCTCGACATTTTATATTACTTTTTTTAAAAAAAACAATTTTAATATGCTTATATTTTTTATTTCTACTTAAAAAAAACAAAACAAAAAAAACAATTTTTTTAAACGCTATTACGTGTTCATGTGTTTATTTTCCATTTTGTGTTTTTACGCACATACGAGTGTATTTTCGACGTGCACTTACATTTTCTTTTTTCTTTTCCAGGACGGGTGGAAAAGAACGATGACGTTTATGAGGATCCGAAATTTTCATTGTACATTTTCTTTTGTTACTATGTTGTACCTCGGTCCCATATAGTAAGGAAAGACGACCAGACGCTGCTAAATTTAGTAAGCTATCAGAAGAGTGTTTACCAACGACAAACTCGATGGGTTTAAACTTCTGGCTGGCCACATCTTAGGGTCGTCAATGCCCCACTAAGGGGGGAGTGATCTGTAGCGGTAAATAAATCCCCAAAATAAATAGCTCTGTAAGTTTTCGACATTGGATGCTGACCATATGTTTTAGTGGACTCATCTAGCTGAGGGCGCTCGGTCATGCATCCACACCAGATCACGTGTGGTAACGCCGTGCTCAACATCAACCGCAATCGCTAGCCAGATTAGATCAGAGAATTCCGATATATTGGTCATCGCCAAATATACTCTTCCGATCTCCTCGACTCTGTCTTTTGATTTCTCTGGGCGGGAACGAAATATATTAGAGGTGTTACTGGTAGAAGCGTTGTCAAACACTGAATACCTGTGACATCATCAATTCTACAAAATATTGTTTTTGTTTCCGAAGTAGTTTATCGACAGTAATATTGGGCACTTTATTTCCGGTGTATTTGTTTGCAATTGAAATTTTCCTCCTTCATGATCATAAATTACTTTTTGTTCTGGGTGTTATCGTATCAAGTTTCCTTTTGAGAACTTCTACCTGATGGCTGGACAGTGCAATTATAGCAATTACTAATGCCCGGGTTGGCGATACCCCGAGATGCAGTGGACAAATGCATGTGCTGGTACCACGAGATTTGTACGAATCTAACGTATGCGGTTTTCAAACGGTTTAGTAAAAATGGTTGATTGCGGTTTTGTAAGAAGTGCGTCTCTGATGCAGCTAAAAAGTGTACTGGTAAACCAGGTCAGCTTACATTCGACACAGAAATTGATGTACAGCCACTTCAAATGAGCTCGATAACAGCTGACTCACATCGATCAAAGGAAGAAAGATTGACTCCAAAGAGGTCTATTCTAAATAAAACCTGAATAATAAATTTGTACCTAACATGCCTTCACTTTTTTATCTTCCAGAACAGTAGATTTATGAGGACACCATGAAAAACGTTTACAAGCCCAGAACAGATTACTTGCCAGCTGACTATCGACATTCACATAGAGTCATAAACGAGCGGAATTCATTAACTGAACACGTTATTGAAACCCAATCTGTCGAATCTTTCAAGTAAAAGTTAGGTCCACTGAGAAGACATCATTGCCAGGAATTACACAAGCTAAGTGATTCTTCCGAACTGGAACAGAAACTCCCCAAGTTGTGACTGAAGCTAAATTTATTTTAGCCTTGAGTTTTCTAAAAATATGGGGAAAACTTGATTTACTTGTTATCCAAAATTATCCTCTGTTGCAATGGTGTATATAAGGACGAATAAACAATTTTCCAAATACACCTGGCAGTTTCAAGTTCAAAAGTATTGGACTCTCTACGCTCAAATTTTTAAAAAGATTAGAAGCGCTCACATTGATTTCTGAATCCGTATTCGTGCGTGTATTGGTTACCGCTGTTGTCAGGTTATACTTGAGCAATCCTTTTATTTGAACTGTGATTACGACCGGAAATCTGTGAATGCTGTTAGTCGCGTTATTTGAAATGTAAGAATGTGCATCTATAATATAAACGAATTTTTATTGAGGTCTGTTATTCATTAATATACTTTGAATTCCAAAACAACATTGGCCAAGATTACCTTCTTGTTTTTTTTTAAAAAATGGCGATTAGCTTACATGAAAATGGGATTCTTCGAAATACTACAAACTGGCTAAATATTTAGCCATGCATACCAACAACTGTCTTCCAATCCTTATTGCATACTGGATCAATGCCCATAAAAATACAACAATAAGCTTCACTATCCATTTGTTCAGTAACCCGTTCATAGGATGTTAACATGTACTAGAAAAAACGGTAATGTAGACGACTTGTAGCATTAATCATACACATCAGGATCGAATGCCGTACATAGATTGCGGCCTGTACTAAACGCCTTGTCGTTATCAGCAAGTGAAACTGAAATTCCCACCATAAAAGTGCTTTACACCGATCATTTTAAAAGGCTGTGGATGTAAACAGGATAAAATCATTATGAATGTATAGCAGTTTTACTGAGCTTTATTATAAGGTGTGGGAAACCAAATAAAAAAACTAGGATCGCGAAACTCAAAGCGGACAAAAGGGTGCGGAATAGTATTTAATTAGAACTTTAAGTAACAAGACTTTAAATTTTACAGTTATAACTCGCAAATTGATAGATATAACAGCGACAAAGTTTCGACTAAACATTTTAGAAATTACATATTTCAAAGCACAAAGCTAAATAAACATAACAAAATATTACATTTGTGTTGACTGATATGGAGTGCGTTCCCTAGATTAATTAGTTAGAATTTTGTCGTTGAAAAATTATGGATTAATAAAAACATCTTAATAGTAGACGAAAGTAGTAAACTTTGAAATATTTTTGACCGTACTTTAGGTTTAAAAATGAATATTATTTAGGCTTCTTACGTATTCTTGAAATTTTTTTACTGACGTTTAAGGGATTTTTGATTTTATTGATGAGTCTAAGCATATGGTATTATTTTGAAAATCATAAACGGTATACCAAACTTCAACGTACTATGGGAACAAAGATTTAAAGAATACAACTTCAACACAACTGGCTCTGCAGAAACGCATAGCAAAAGCTTAATTGAACAAATTCCATGCAAGTGTTATGTGAAAGACCCGTCAGTTCATAAACTAGCGTTATTATCAGACACATTGGATTTCATGTACTATGATGCATCGAAGAACATATTGGATGGAAGTATGAGCACAATTGATAATTTTGTTACATTTTTCCATTTCGAGTGTTTAAATAGTAACGCATTTGCGTATGTTTGTACATTACTACACCAGCAAACCTTAATAGGGTATAAAAAGATTATTTGTGGCTTAATTTGCCGAATAACTATAAATACCGCTTTTTAAAATCATGAAGATCAAGTCGCAAAGAATCTGTTCAAGAGAATCCGTCAATGACGTGACTAAGAGTCTGTCTTATTCTGACTACTACGCATGGTGGCATACTTTGACCACTTTAAGCATCAACATTAATTCAATCTGTCATTTTAGTCCTCCTATGAAAAAATTATGTTTCATGTAGTATGTTATATTTCCATATGGTCTTTAATTTTTCGAGTTCCCATGACGGTACATTTACCTTACCTGAGAGCTATAGTTACTTAATACTAAACTATCATTAGGAACAATAACAATGAGAAGCGTATATAGCACACCATTGTCGCTGTACCTAGGATACAACCTACCTACCTCACCGCCTTCGATGGATCAAGAAAGTCATGAGAACACCACAAGTGTACCCAACTAAGTAGATATCCCGTCGAGACATCAACACCGTAGATGTTACTTTCAGTAGCTGGAAAGGAGAGCCTAACACAGAGATTTTCGAAGATCTTTGGCCAGCCACCGATGTCCCAAAAAGGCATGAGGCTTAAATAAGCAATCAACTTTAGGCAACGTTTGACAATATTCTTAATATATTGAGGAAATTGACATACATTCATCCTGCTTCTTGCGTACGCTTAATTGTTTTGGTTATACATTCGTAGTGATTAACCTACAAACGGTGTCGTGGATATATCTGAAGTCTTTTACTGATGCTTTTCGCATACATGATAGCTTTATTTCTGTTCTTCCATTTTACACTTTCGCATAAATTTGACTTCTATTCCAGTTGAATTATGAGAAATTTCAAGTTAACCTTGACAACATCCTAAAAGACGTTTGTTACCTTTGTTATAAGTCCTGCCGATGAAAACTTCATTCTCTTTACGCACAAATAATTCAAATGCCGAAGTCAAACTTCTACGATCAAAAGATGACCTAATACACGAACTCGTGACTTCTGAAATTAAATACATAAGTTACCTCAGGAAGGTTTTGAAGGTAACTTCATATTGTTTGTCTAATCTTTTAGTACTTTGCAAGGCCCTTAATTGACCGCAGATACTTGCCAGAAGATATACACTCTGAAATTTTTGGACGTCTCGTGCCCATCTTAAGTGTCAATGAAACTCTTCTTGAGTCTGTCTTAACTGTTGGAGTAGAGAAAGCATTTCTGAAAATTTCTCCATGTTTGAAATTATATGCAGATTATGCCAACCGCTACCAAACAAACGTTGTGTTTATGGAGGCGAGTTGTTCAGTTTGCGTGGTTTTATTTTTATTACGTTTCTATCTGTACTGTTACTGTTAATGACAAGATCAGGTAATCCGAATCGAAATACAAATTCATCTAAGCTCCAAACTGGTTAGATGTTAATATTTGCTTCAGCTTAAAATTTTGCAAATTATTATATTTCCCCTTAACTTCTTAAGTTTTTCGTTTGTCCCTGGCCTATCTCTTTTGCTACTGCGGTACATAGTTAACCGAAATACAGTAAACTAAAAGTAACTCCTCTAATTGCACCGTTTCACTATTGGCATAGTGAGCAACACAGCTGAAATCTTACGTCTGAAATACATGGTTTGTTTAATATATAAGTAAACTGAGGCACTTAGATTTTCTTTGGAGCATTAGAAAAACTAATTAATTTTGTGGAAAGTTTGGGGAGATTATAAAGATCTAGCTTTCCGAAAAAGGCATGAGAGTTTTTCAGCGTAAGCTGTAAAGACTACATGGTTGATACAAGGTTGGGATGACCGTGTACCTGTATTGATGAAAACACTGAACGTTCACCGATCTCTTTTACATTTTAATCGTTGACTCCCTGTTGGCATAGTTTCTAGTGACCTGAATTTAGAAAACTCGTCTGTGCGAGATCGTGCAAAGAAATGAAACAACCAGGCAGTAAAAAGGCCTGACTTGCACAACATTCCATGAATGTTGTGAACAAAGGAATCAATGCTGAGACTAGTGCAATGACAGAAATGGAGAGTACTTTAAAAGATTAAGATTGATATACTCTAAACTTTGTAAAACAGAGTCCTTATGGCCTCCGCTGAGGTATTTTATAGACTGAAAGTTTCGAGCTAAAATGCAACCTGACAATAATCATTGTATGTGAGATATTTCCATCGGGATATTGAAAAACAAGTTGGGCAAAGAAATGCCTTCTTTCCACTAGTTCTTCATCAAGGCTCTATACTAATACATAGGTTTTGCAGTTAAGAATGAAATCAGTTGCAAACAATTGGTGGTTGATCAGTTTAACAATGTCTCCTCTAAAACGGTAGTCACAGTCTCAACGAATGTGACATCAAATCTACAGACAAGGTTGTGTAATCAGTTAATTACAAAAATTCGTTATGTAGGAATAAGAGTTGAGTAAGTTCGAAATTTATGTCAGTCCTCCACGACTATCTGGTTAGGTCCTAGAGATAGTACTACACGGTGAATTAAAACGTCACTAGACACGGCTCCTAATTAAAGCCGGTGTCGGTCCTTTCATGGTTTTCTTTTAGTTCTTAAACTTGAGAGGGACTTATTTAACTGAAAGAACTGGTTATATTTCTCTGAACTAGATATCATAAATCTATTATTCATCTCCGATTTTCTGGTTTTATCAATAGATTTGAGACTATCTTTTACGACGTGCTGTGAAACGTCTCTATGCAGTACCCTTAGAGGTTCTGCTATACATCTTTCTGCCACAGCGGTAATCCAGATTTATATACTTTTGGATAGATATAATGCCTTAGTGACATGGTACCGCTGGGTTTGAGTGTTACATAAAAATCCTGAGAGATTGCATCTGTTTGTCTTGGGCTATTTAGTGATTAAGTCAATTGTCATGGTCTCCTCTGCTGGGTCATTATTCGAGGATATTGTACTTATCCTTTCTTCAGTTTAAGTAGGGATTTTTTGTTTCTTTTGGTCAACATCCTTTCTATGCTAAGCCTGTAGTTTAGATAATAATAGCAACAGTCTACTAGACTGGAGTTAAGTCCTTCTAAATCCCCGTAGATAAAAGGTATTAGGCCTCTTATTTATGGGTAGATGTTTTAAACCTGAACTTGTAAACAGTACTACCATCACAAAATTCGAAACCAGGAGATGAGACTTTTAATAGTTAGATAAGGATAAACACTCGAAAAACTACGAACATTCCGAGATAGATTTATTGGGAATCCAATTTTCTAGGCTTTGAACGAACTAAGTACGCTTTCTTTCTCTTCTTGCGTTCATTATTTAAGTCACACATTATCGAAATTGTTACTTGAAGTGGTCAGGTAGATTCCCAACTCCATATGATCTCTCAGGAACATCTTTTGTCAACTCCGTAATGCATTGTTTTTGTAATACGAACAACATAGGTTCATAAAGGTTTCTTTTCATATTCCACATATTGTAGTAAATCCTGATTTTTAGCTATAATATAATAGAGAAAACTTCACATTATAAAAATAAACAAGAAAAAATACCCTTAGTCTGAAAGTTTTCCTCAAAGAATGAAGATATCTAAAGTGTACGTCTCTTTTAAAACGTGCTGATCTGAATATGAGGATCCATAAAATCACACATTAACAAGCATAATTATAAATCAACCGTGAAAAGTCAATAGGTAAGATGAACTAATCCTTTATTAAGATTTTATTAGTGTAAAAGTTGTTTGTTTGACATTTTGAAACTAATCATAGTTCTTAAAAGAACTCATTTGCAATTTAAATTATTTTGTAACATTTACAAACAATCATTTCACGGAATACAATTGAGTACTTTTTGGTTAGCAGGAAAAAGTTACTTTTATGTGGTTTAGAATTTCGCTTGATTCGTGGTATCCGTACATGTTAAATTAAGTGTTATTTTTGGTCTTTTAGACTTGTAATGCATTCATACCAGGACTAATGGAGTTTATAAATAAACAAGAAAGCTTACCAGATGTTAATTTACAGCTTTCAGCACTCCTCATAATGCCCATACAGCGCATTCCTCGGTATGTTTCTGTATTGATAAATCTTTGGTTTTATTATGTATGATAATTGATATCTGTAGAACCATGCCTGTTAAGTATAACTTTTCATATATATTAATGCCTTGTCTGATCGCATTAATTTTCTGAAAAGAAGGATTTTATGGACATTGATATCATTTGAAAGAACTATTAGAAATAGTTCTAGATACCCTTGAAGGCTAAAACCTACGTGCCTGACCAAACGTGTCAGCAAACTACCGCTACACTTCTGTGTCAGAATCAAATTGTCGAAATTATAATATTATCGTATTACTGCTCCGCTCGCAAATTATGTTTCCTGTGGTTTGTGGTTCAAATTTCACGCTTATGTATGCGTTTAATATTTTTGCCTGTACCACGATTTGTGTGGTTTAGTCATTAGTACACAAACATGTGTGTGGTCTCACAGATAGGTTATTAATTATTTTCTACGTGCCGTTGAATAGAAGGAGTATGTCTTCAGTGAAATTAATTTTATGTTTCCGCAATGTTGATGGATGTACGCGAAAATTTAACGAACTTCTATTTTTTGTAGGTATTCTTTAATACTCCAAGAACTTGTTATCATTTGCCTTCAACTGGACGGTTTAAGTAATCCAGAAGCAAATAAATGTGCCATTAGTATTAACGAAGCTGCTCGTCAACATTTTATGATACCAGAATATGCAGCCACTCTTATTTTAAAACTATGGGATAATCATCATCAAGTGCATTACTCTCCAGAATCTCATGATTCAAGTTTTTCAGATCTGAAACGTTATATTCATAGAATGTGTGCTTCCACAATTATTCTTATTGCAGGTTTTGCTAGTGTGGTAGCGACAGCAACATTTTTAAATGAACAGATTAGAATCAGTGAACAAGCTACTAAGGCCGCTTTATTACAATCAAGACTTTTTGGCAAATGGTCGCAAAACCTCATTCTAGTACCTGGGCGTAAACTATTGAAGTATGGATTGGTGAAAAAGGTAAGCATTTTAAACTTCTATGGTGTTAGGTTCTTGAAATCACGTAGTCGTTTTGTTAATTTTATACCATCTAAGCAGGAATCTTTGACTTTCTACATATTTCGAAATCTTAGTTTCTGGTTTGTTATCACTCTTCATTAACATCTTAAAACGAAAGTGGGTTTAGGCTTTACCTATGAGTATTGAGCGTTTAAGCTGAGTACAACTTCATATGTATCATTTTTGATGTAATTCATCTCTCAATTCAATCCTTTTCTATGTCGATAACCCAACTTATTTACTTTGTTAAATATATAATCATAGCTTTTTTCATTGCAGGTGAATTCTCTTGATGGAGTTGCGGAAACTCGTTTACTAGTGATTATGTCTGATATACTGATATGTGCTAAACCGCGAACCCAAACGGAGTTGGAATTTATTTTCAGCAAGAAAAAGTGTGTTTATAGCCGAAAATATCCTAATCCTTTTACACAGTTGTACGGAAGAAAAATGTCTTTAGGGTTTACAAAACACATTCGAAAGTCGAATGACACAAACTCATTGATTCACGTTTCTAAATTTTCTAAATCAGTCTCACAAAGTTCTAACTCTCAAACTTTTAACGATTTAACTGATTTTTTAACAGATAGTAAAGTTTGTTTTTCATGTGTTGCTGTCTATCCTCTTCATCACTGTCATGTTCAAATTCATTTTAAACCACATAATACGTTTCTGCAACCGATCCCTGAGTCCCCTGAATGTCCACCAAATCAGAACAACTCAGTGTTTATTTCACCAATTTCTATCGGAGGATTTAGTCGTGAGTATTATTCTCTGTTAATTACAATACTTGTTGCCTGGTTTGTTTATTTGCGAAGTGTTGTATATTGTCATCAAACTTTAACATTAAAAAAACTGAATTATTCAGTTTTTTTATCAGTTTTCTTATGCATATGAATTTATGTCATCAGTTTATTTGCTTTTACAAAACCTCCAAATGCCCTGGTGCGGCCGAGAGTGGGGAGAGTCCGCTTTCCCTCTTGAAATACTCTCACACGGCCACGCGTACACAGCCTCTGCGAGGGAAGTTCTACTCATTGCTTTGTTGTGGCGGGGGTCTTGTTTACGAAAATGTGAAAACGAAAAGCGAATGTCCGGCGCTTTAACCGGATTCCAAACCAGTGGTGCACTTGGGCTCCAGTATCCTGCGGGAACAAATGGCGTATGCACCAATCACTGGTCACCGGTTACCATGGGACTGCATCTCCTTACGGTGCTCCACTGCCTTGTGGGTTACACCTTTAGGTCAAAGGCTCGGGGTGTGGCCCCCTAAGATAACCACCTGCTTCGGTCTGGGCACTCGGGCAGTATCGCAGCCCACACGCAAATGATGAACTCTCTATATCTATGGAAACTACTTTTTCATACACATAGTTCCCTTTATCATTTTGAAAAGAGCAAGAACAAAGATTCTAACAGAATAGCATGAATTCATTTTATTTCGTAGGTTCTCGTCAGCTGCTTACAACCTGTGATATTTAAAAATCATAATTGCATAATGGATTTAAATTGCTTACAGAATATTGTAAATATATACCTAATGTGAAAGAATATTCTACAACATTAATTGTGACATCAGTTCAAAAATGGGTTGGAAACAATTGATTACATAATGAATAAACATTGATAGGAATATAGTGATTAGAGTTCAGTTGAAAGATTATTAATTTGAAAGATAGTTGAAAAAATAAATTAGAACCAATGATGTAATAATTGCAACAGAAAAAAGAGAAAAAAAATTTTAAGGTTCAGTGAAGGAATATTTGTCACCAGGGTAAGGAAAGATTAACCACCGTCTCCTTTTGAATACATAGGTCAGGTTTTTGTCGCCTGATGGCAATGGCTTCAGCAAACTTAGCACGCTGGTTAGCAGAAAAACTAGAACCGGTTCATGGTAGATTAGCAACATATACGTCATCGCCGATGTGCCACCTGGCGTCCTCCCTCTGCATCTCAAGCCTGGACTCAGATTGATCACATCGCGATCAGCTACCGCTGGCGTGGTTGTGTACAAGACTGCCGCTCCTTTTGGAGTACCTATCTGAACTCTGACCATGCTTTGGTCTGCACCAATCTTACCTTACTTTTTCAGTGGACAACGAAGTGACCACCACCAACGGATTGATGTTAGCAAGCTGGTTGCAACTTCTGTTGCTAGTAAGTATCAAACCGAGCTAGCTTCTAGGCTAGCTACCACTCCACCGAAAATTATAGATGAGCACTGGTTGCAATTGCATGACGCCATGAAAATGGCGGGTACAGTCAGTTGTAGGTTCGCAAAACGTCCCGCTTATAAGCACTGGGTTTCTTCAGGTTCCTTACAACTCATTGAAACCCGTCGGTCTACTCCGGGTGACCGTGAGTTTGACCATAAACGAAGGATGTTACGTAAGGAAATTGGGCAAAGCTTGCGTAAGGACCGAGAAGCCTGGTGGTCGAAGCGTGCTAATGAGCTGGAAGCAGCAGCTGCATCTGGTAACTACCGGAAGCTCTTCCAGCTCATCCGAGCCACTGGCAGCAAGAAGTCTGGTGTGAGTGAAACAATCTGCGAGGATGATGGGATGCCAATCACTAACATCCATCGACGTCTTGGACGATGGGCAGAATTTTTCAAAGGGCATTTCAACTGGTCTGCTGCTCCGGCAACATCTGTCAGACTGTCCTGCCCTCCATGGCCGGTGACGACATCCACCAAACGAGGAGGAAGTCCGCAAGGAACTCCAACTCTTGAAGCGTTACAAATCACCTGGCCCAGATGACTTACCTCCGGCACTTTTTAAAGATGGTGGTGACTTTCTGACTAAGGAATTGACGACGTTGTTTACAAAGGTTTGGGAACTAGAGAGTGTACCAACGTCATGGAATGGGTCGATAGTTGTCCCTATCTTTAAAAACTAAACTATGCAATGACCAGCTTATTAAAACGTATTATTTAAGATTGAACTAACCAATGAGTCAAAGATGGTGATATTGTATTTGCGTTTCTTTTCAGGTCACACTGCATCAACACCATTGGCGTTCGATGAATATGCATGTGGATCAACATCTGTTGTAAGACTGAAGTCGGATTCATTTATTACCTTCAATGAAGATGACTACACAATGAGACACCCTGAACCTTTGAATGAATACAGTTTCACTGTATGTCTTAATTATCATTTAAATAACTTTGTTATTTTTGTGCATGGTAATCATGTAATATACATTTAGCATATAATTAGGTAATAAGATGGCATTATCAGTGTGTTCGATCAATGGCTAAAAATCTTATCGATATGTATCTGCTTTTTTATTGTCAAGGAAGATCACTGATCTTCATCCAGAAATTGTACTTCAATAGGGTATTCTAGAATCCATCTTCCAGTTTGTACTAATTTTTATAAACTGCCAATAATCGAACTGTTTTTATCACCAAACTATTGGTAATAGTAATTAAAATGTTTAGGGATATCATAAATAAATGATTTCTATACTTAGCCTTATATTGTGTTAATATCCTTCTTCAACACATTCACGGTTAATTCTTTCGATTGAACTTATTCTTCAAATGGTCGTGGTTCCAGTTCGTATAAAATAAGTATTCACCAAGCACACTGTCTCCGACGATTCTAATTGTCTTATGCATCTATTTTAATTAGTTAGCCGTTTCTATATTGCTGCACAGGTGCAAACCTCATATCCTACATTTTTAAACAGTTTACTGCATGCTTTTCAATACGAATGTACAGCCTAAGTAAATGATTTTGTCGAATAGAAAATTTATTACTGTTCTAAAGTAATCCAGATTTTCAGTTGTTTCGTTTGTAAATCAGAGTACTATTCATTTTTCATTATTTCTACAGAAGAGATATAGCACCCATAATTTAATATCATATGTAATTACTTATTTATTGTGTCTAGCCTTGTTGCTTTCAATACCCGAGGAGCACCATCTTTAAATAAGTAATGTCGATAAAATAAATCGATTTGTAAGTTCCCAGTGGTTTAATGATTATACGTTTTTGTTAGCGAGAATACCCAGTATCAAAGGAAACCTCCTATACACTTGTAAGGAAATGAATCGGCTTTTTAGTTAGATTTGGTTCATACTTATTATAAATATTTGTGAAAGACACAGAAAGCACTAGGGTTTTAGGTTGAAATGAATTCATTTCATCTCTTGTACTCTAAACCTTCCACACATACACCAAATTGTACTTATACATTAAATGTTTTGCAAATATAGCTTCGTGTGTAATATGAGTAAGATTATCAAGTTCACGAGCGAAAAATTATTATCATAAGCTATATTTCCAAGTTCACTTTATAGAAGAATGAAATAGGAGCGAAAAAAAACATGACGTCAAGTAAAAGAAACATGTTCAAGGTGCTACGATCACAGTTGACAAGATCACAAAATTCATATTATTTACCAATAAACTCTAGTAAAGTAATCATATTAATGGTGAAAATAATAATAATTTTCGGAGATGATATCAACATAGAAAGTAATGATTATTTTTATTAGTGAACTGAATGACTTTATGCATATTGTATAGGAAATTACATTTGTGAAACATCTTAAGTATTTATAAAAGTCAGTGGGGAATTTCGAGCTCACCAAATGAAATGAAATGACTTCATCCTACTATGTTTTTTTCTGTTTTGCAAAAATTTCAAGCATATTATATAGAAATTAAATATTCTATCACAGCTGTTATATCTTTACATTGAGATCAGTTATTATTAATAAACGAATATTTTTGTCTTCTAGGTGCACTGTCGTGATGCTAACTTTACTATCGTGAATGGTAATTTAAGTGAAGCTGAAGATTGGATATCTAGTTTGGAGACAGCCATTCAGTAAGTGTTCCATACATTCTTTGAAGCGCTATTTTTACTTTGTCATATTCTTAGTAGTCACAATTATGTAACCAGAGTATTCTCGGATTCAATATATTTATTTGGTGTGGATTTTTAGTTATACAGTTTTGATATAAATGCACATAAAATTTACATAAATGCAGAACAAATCTTTCCAAACTTTCAACAGTGAATTTTTTTAAACAAAAGAAACATATTAGCCTACTTATGATGACTCAAATGAAGTATCCGATTTGTTAGAATTTAACATAACCCAAAGTACTTCCACACTTTAAATTTATTCATCTAGTTGAATATATATGTTATTACTTACTTCATTTTAGTATAATTCTTTTTAGGATGTTCCATTTCTTTGTGGCTATTTAGGTGATTGAACTAACAGATTTATGTATTGCTTTATACTTAGACATTTTCAAAACCTATTTATTTTTTAGAGCTGTTAAAACAGCACGAAAAAGCCTTCGTAAGGAAAGCAGTGCCAAGTGGCCAATGCGTGCTTCAGATTTTATTCAATTTGAACAATGGCTAGAACAGAAACGTATAGTCGAAGAGGTGAGAATTCTTCAGTTGATAGAGTTTCATATAAATTCTCATAAAAAGAGAACAACATGCTGAACAGAATATGGTGAACGTATTGCGTTTTATTACCCTTCGCATATTACCTCACACGTTTAAGTCAGTTACAGTATACAACATACCATAGAAACTGTCATAACTTAGTTTTTAGGAACCGGATTATTACCTAACAAATCGTCATACATTTTGTGGGGTGACGTAATAAACATATTGAGTTAGACAAAAAGCCAATCGAAAGCATACACAAACAACATAAACCGGCAAAATGACTCCAATCAATCCTATGCAATGACATAAGAAGAAAAAGCCGAATGTTATCTACAAAACAAAGTGCTCTGATTGTGAGAAACAGTATATCGAACTAAATGGACAACCCCTTCATCTTCATCTGCGTTAACATCAACTAGCTGTCAAACCTCAAGATGTATCGCTCGTACCAATGCACGTAGATAATTATATGTGGTAGTAGTTTTACCAAGATATCAGTCACTATTCCTCTTACCACTATTAAAGTGTCGGTTAGGTATTCTAATAAATAATACGAATACTCTGCAAACATAAATAATAATTTTTTCCATTATAAAAGCTGTGTGATACTGTGGTTTGTATGTGTCGGTATCATAACACAGGCATAATTTTAATCAGTTACTGTCAGCTGCTGTTTTCATAAGCGCTTAAGTAATAATTAAAGCTGTTAACCTCGATTTGGTTATTGAGTATGTGACGTCAGACCATAGAGGATTACGTTGTGCGTTATCCTTGATACAAACTTAACGTGTTTTCGAATTTAACTAAGAATAATTTTCGGCTGAGTTTATCGTCTATGTCTGCCAATTCATAATATGAAGGGTCAATAAAGTAATCATAGTTAATTAGCTTGAGTTCTTGCAACATGTGTTTATTTTTCAATATGAAGAACGGAAATATTTGTACCTTGAATGTTCATTATAGTGTGAAATATGCGAAAAGAGTACTAAAGCCCAGTTTTATATTGGTAGTTGAAGACCATCAAAAAAGCGATATTTTCACCGGATAGTGAGTCAATAAAAGCGCTTTGCATCTTTACGAAAGTTTACTATACTTTCATCGTTAGATTATTAACGAATTGAATTAGGTGAAGGCCAGGTAATATGTGTTATATATGTATGAGATTAAATTACTTTCACGATAAAACACCCTCAGTTTCGGCCATATAATGACTTGATATTAAAGCCAAGGGTTATAAGCTAGAATTTAACCCCATCTGCTTAAACTTCAACCGAAAAATCAATTACTCGATTCCTTTCCTAATTAATATATCTTAAAGCATGATGTATAAACATGTATTCGGTTATTAAATTATATCACTATCAATATATACAAATTTAAGACTCCTCGTTATAAATAAAGCAATAATTTAAGAAAAGTTATATAATTTTTATATTAATTTAAACCATGCTATTGGCTAAACTCATGGAATAGATGGATTGAAAGCTTGTGTGAAAAATCATTCTTTAAAAATGTGTTCTGATTAAAATTAACAAATAACAATTTCATTGTTGTTTTACTTATTCAAATGTTATGCTTTATGGTTCTGATAGAAATAAAGCTTAGTAAAATTTGATAAAAGAATAAAACCAGTTTTACACTAAATGGTTTTCTTCTTGTTTTAATTCTGGAGCGATTTATTGAGCTTTATCAGTCTTTGTTTGGCTTTGGCTAAATAACTATAGGCATGGCTATATGGAAAAATTTCAACAACAGATAATCTATTCAAATCATCACTGTCCATAGGCTACTTGACTGTTGTTGTTGCTAGTTCAATGTGATTTCATATTTAACTGAGGACACAACATAGAGCATTTTTGTACAGTTTAAAAGTAGCTTTCATTAAACATTGTTTTTAACCTTTTATCAGTAAATATTATTATTTTGATCCATTACCGCTAGTCAATGAAATCTTCTCGAATCTTTCAAAGGATGGGAATGGAAGAGTTGACCATTGATAATCCCCTTTCACCAGTAAATTTTCTTGAGTCATCTAGAATGGAACAAAAACTTGAAGAATATCGTAGACGTAAATCCATCGGCTGTGATACCGAAAAAAACAATCGGCTTTCTTATATGTTTTGTGAGTCTGGTAGTCTTAAACTTAATCCCAAAAAATCAAAACGTGATAAACAATGTGGACTGTTTTGTCATTCGTTTATGTCTAAATTTAAAGAAAATAACTTAGATAATGCCTCAGTAAGTTGATTTTAAATCTAAAAACGGTTGTTTTTAAATTTTACTATGAGAACTAGTACTTATCATGTTATATAAATATACTTTGTACGTTTTATTAAAAATACCTTGTTGAGAGTGCGTGAGATAAATTAACTAAAATAAAATCAGTACTGATTTATCTTTATTGTTGAGTCTAAAGTTTTATAACTTTTACCGTATTGCATATCAGTAGGTTTTACAGATCACTGCAAGTCGAATCATTCAAGTCAACTGAAATATATTACTGTTTTGTTAGGTCAGCCAACTGTCAAGTTACATTTTCAATCCTTTTATTTAAATTTTGAACCATTTATCCTTCTCTCAAATGGTTGGGTTTTTTTTTAACAAACAACCGTAACTTTGAGTTCATTTAAATATTAAGGATGAACATATATCTTGTTTAGGTTTCATCGTTACAAAAATTGAAAAACACCATTAATAAGTTGTTTTCCGATGTTGAAAACTATTTTTAAAACCTTATTACCTATGACACATATTTCGATGCTGAAGAAATAACCATTCAAATGTTTCTTTATCACATACCCATATACCTGTTATTTTAATTGCCCAAAAAAAATCTGGATGTAAGTGCTAGTGATTTTAAGAAGGGAAGGCTGGGTATTTTACTAGGTTCTTCTACAATTCAAAACAAATTTTCGATAATATTCATAATTCTCATCGAGTGACATTTTAATATTATTGATCCCGATACCCCAGGTTTAAACCTTGCAGTGAAGCAAACTTCATTAAGGTAAATGTTTTATTGAAATTAGAAATCTCTTTTTCTTGACAAAAAATAACTACTATCAATAATGATTCAGCTTGGTTTAATTAAACATGAAAATAATTTTTCAAAAGAATAAAATGATTCTTTAGTGTTTTAGATTGTTCACCATGTGTGTCTTAAGTTGGAATTATTGAGAGCAAACTTTGGTCTAAAATTATGTACCACCATTTTGTAATGATAATTATAATTAAGAAAAAATATTAACGGAAAGCCCTAGGTTCATGTTAACAATATACTAATAGTTCTAAGTTCTAAGATTAAGTCAGAAAAGAGCCATCTTTATGCAAATGAAATGGAACAGGTCACTATCTCGCAAAATACTAAGCATGTAATAATATTTTAGGCTGAATGTATTGTCAATTCAATATTTCTTGAAAGTGTATCATTCATAAAAGATGAATAGATTTGAATTTATTAATTAAGCTAAGTGAGAGGTCCTTGATTATAAGATTGAATTTTGTATCCGAGATGATTACTGAATTTTTAGTGAGACTATGTTTCCCTCGGGCTATTTGTAAGCCATTTTAACTGATTTATAGTTATATCATCTTAAATGTTCTCAACCACTGATTAAGGAAATCTAGATGATCTGTACTTCGAAACCCTCATTTCTTTATACGATGCAACAATATTAATAACTGACACTAGTTAATCATTGTTTGACTTCAATCTAAGCCACTCATCCGTCATGCTAAGGTAGCCCTTAACTAGGTGGGCGCAAGAAACTTCTCAGTCATATCAGTTAGTTGAAATTCTGGCTTTTAAGTGCTTTATAACCCATACTTCGTAACTTATACATAGCACCGTTATAGTTCATGTACATTAAAGGTCTAGTATTTTGATGGAGGAAATTTCATATTTCCCTGACATTGGTTTTTGTTAAATTCTACATCCACTTAGTTAAAAATGGAATATATTTTGAATTATTATCATTATTATTAGTGGCTTTATTCAATAATATATTTTAGGTATAATATAGCATTCACAGCACAAGGTATTTCAACAAGTCCCTTTTACAAAAAAGAAAAAAGGCGAAGGAAACTGCTAATTCCATACATATATACATAAACTAAGTAGATAAACTACCTGGAATTAAATGAAACGTTTTATAAGATTTGAATCTGTACAACCTTTTGATTAGAAACGTGTTTAAGAATACAAGCTGTTGACTAGGTCAGCTCTAACAACCTGTTTGCCACACGGTATATTTTCTAGATAAGGTATTCTGATGTATTGGAATTTCGTTCTACCAGAAGATATACAAGGAGAAATATATAAATGACGTGGATGGTTAGTACCTGATAAGACTACACCTTCCATAGGTTTACAAGATTTTAGATGTTTATCCACAACCATATTAATAATGGCCTTAAAAGATTCACCGCACATCCTGCTAACTGCCTTCAGCACTCCTCAATACAGCAAAGTCTTTTTTCACAATCGTGGGGAAAAATAATGGAGGACAGTAAAGAATTATAGGTAATACGCAAGACTTAACAAGTCGTAAAAGTTAGTATTCCGTAGGGGAAAAAGCATGAAGTCTCTTTATACAGTAAGTCAGACAGAAAAATTTCTTCAATATTAACCAAACATGGAAGATCAAGAGAGATCAGAGGAAAAAATTACACTAAGATAAATGACCTTTGAGGACGTTTTTATTGAAGAATCTCCAATAGTACCATCTTTATGGGGTTCCAACAGAGTGTTTAGGTGCTGTTCATATGTCAGGCTAAAGTTAACAGTTTGACACATAGATGGACTAGGTGTGAGACCATTAACAACAGACCACAATTCAATAAGAGACAAGAACTCATTCATTTTAAAGGTATGTAAATAGGTAAGAATCATTGTACATACAGTGAGATCGTCCGCATCTTGAACAAAAGTCTTTTCTATTGAAGATAATAGATCACGAAAAAAATCATAGAAAAGAGGGTAAATAACAGCTCCTTGTGACATATTAGCCAATTCTATGTTTTAGGCTTCTCCGTAACTCCATTGTAATATTAATCTGTTTTCATTTAGTTGTAAAAAACATTTCATAATATCCTGTTCTTAAAATGACTTCTAGGTACTTTATCATTCAAACGATTCTGTTCGTTTGTTATCCATAACAAGCATTGCTGATAAGCCCACATCAAATTCCATTCCGTTCAATACAGGAAATCATTTGTACAGCAGTGATCGTTGTTACCATTTGGGTGATACTCATCGTAGTTCATTTCCATCTCAATTAGCGTAAGTTTACATGATTTTCTTTCTTACACTTAAAGCAAATGTTGTTCGTAATAATATATAGCTCAGTATTTTGTGAATACAAAATCATGTACTGGTTATCACTAGACTAGAAAAAATTGGACATCATGAAAGAACAAATGAAATACACTATTTAGAATTCATTATATTCTGCAGCTGTTTGTAGCTGTTTACACTCGTAATCGAACTAATCAAATGTATTGACCGAATTGAAAGATATCATGATATTGCACAATTAAAGCACTTGAAATAACAAGTTATCAGTGAGCTTTAATATAGATAAGACTATTAAACGAATGAGCGAAAAAAATATAAGTGTGCAGAAACAGAAGTGAATTAGAATCAGAAAATTAGTAAAATTTGTTATGTAACAATTGTGATAACTTAGGTTGGTGGAAGCCATTCAATAAACTCAAGAGTACTTTGGAATTCGATGAGGCAAAAAAACCAAAATGGATGGAAAGACCTTACAATCAAAAACTTGACTTACTACGATGGTGATAAATTGACTGGATTGATGGCTTAGTTAATTATATGATATACTTACACCTTTCTTAAATTTATCTGTCTCATAATAGCTGCTGGAATCTATTTAAACATACTTTAATTTTATTCAGATTTTAGCTAATAAAAATTATTTTACTATCTTTTACTTACAATATACATGATATCATTCAATATCTTACTACATAAAGAACAGTTTAAACAACATATTTTAATCATAATTGGATTAATTTGAGAGCAACAGTATCAGATATAAGCAGGTCGGAAATGCTTGATAGTCTCTGCAAAAAGGAGTAAAATTAATATATATTTTTTGCCACCACAGGTACATGAAAATTCAACTCTAAGCAATTCTAAGAACTTACATGTACCTGTGGTGGCAAGTATATAAGAAAGATAGAGAGGAAGGTTTCTAATAGATTTTCTAAACGTATTCCTAAGATTCTACGCGTAAAAAGAGTAAGGTCTTCACGACTGCAATCGTCAAGCACCATTTGAATAGTAAAGATGAAATGAATATAACCAATGCATTAAAAATAATCAAAAGACAAAGAACAATTTTACTCCGTTTCCTGGAGGTAATAACTATCAAGCACTTCTGACCTGTGTATACACAACGTAACTGTGACAAGCCTTTCCGTGATAGCGACAGCGTGTTAACCAAATAACCTTTGTCAATTTTTCAATCCTCTTTTCATCGGATTCTTATGTTTTGCATAATCTTGTTAGTGTTCACATATTTATTCTATCTAGTTTATAATCACATTGAATGATTGTGTAATCGCTTACTAATTTGATTGCCATTTAATATATATATATATATATGCGATTGTACACCTCTGATAAATTCGTTGAAAAGAAATCCCTTCGCTGAACTTCGTGACTTTTAATTTATTTAAGCTCACGTAACCCTCTTATCTTCATTATGATTACCTGTAGCTATGACGTCATCTACTCTGAATTATTACTTTACAACAATATAAATACCAAACAGTCTCAACAATTTTATATTTGTACATTTTGTTTACTATTCCTCGTGTTATTACGTTTGTCATGATTCCTTTCTTATACTCGTCTGAACTTCATTAACTTAAGTACATTGAAAATTTGTTTATAATCACGTTAATATGTGTAATTTTAGGCTGTTTGCAGCTGATGGGACGTCGTGAAATAGAATGAATTCATCTTATTTTGCAAACTTATTTGTTGTTAGAGTGACAAGTTGAACAATGAAATAATTCGTTTCATTTAGTTCTTCATCAAGGTTCCATACTAACATAAATGTTTTATAACTGAGTAGAGACGATACCAATTGGATGGTGGTTAGTTTAAAGAAATAGTAATCACTTAGTTACATAACGTCTGGAAGATCGAAATTAAGGTTAGGACTAAAGTGAATTCTCATGGTCAATTAATTATCACTAACAGTTACATAATTAAAATTGTATGTAAATATGAATGTTTTGTTATCTGTGGAATTAATGATAAGTAATTAGTTGAACGGGTACAGTTAATATGATTAATCATCAGATTACATAAGATTAAAACTAGGAATTTAAGTGTTAACGAAATCGATGTTCAGGAAATTTTACGAGAATAGAAAGAAAGGTTTTGAAACATGCAATGGTATTTAGGTAGAAAACTAGGGTAGATTCAATGGTTGTATAAACTTTTTCTGTATATAAAGGTTGGGTTTCTAGATGTGTATTCTTATGGCTTCTGCTATACGTAAAAGTTGAATCCTAGAACCATAAGGTTATTTCGGCGAGATTTTATAAATTACTTGAAACGCTGAAGTTTTATCTATGTGGTGATCGGTATCGACTAAATGCACCATAAACCAGATAATTAGTTTATTCAGATGATAAATTTTCGATGATAATATTTTTTATTAATGGTTATTCTTATTTTATTTATATAGCCAATCTTTTAGTGGATGTTTGTGCATGTAAAATGCTTGCAAACAGGTATCTGTGCTGTAAGTGAATTGTTATCATTTCTTTTTGTCAATGAATTATTCCCTTGGCAACTAAAACTTTTTTTAAATGTTTTAATTTCATCATTTATTGTTGTGGAATTTTAATGAAATTTATTATAGAGAAAGAAATATTTATTTTAATTCACCACAGAATTACGATTATTTTAAGTAAAGTGTGTGGAACAAAATCTAAGCAACGATGCGCCAATTAAGTCCTTTAACATACCTGAATTGTTATTTAGTGTACACATGTTGATGTTTTAACTCGATTAAATTTTGGTCACCATCTTTATATGAATATTTATAACATATGAAATGACTGTTAAAGCATAAAATCCGGATATCAAAATATGCTTTGTAACATTGAGTTTTGAACAACCTACCAGATAAGAAAGGATATAAATTACAAAAATTACTGTTCTGCCTCAAATTCCAACATTATTTAGCATATATATACTGATGCTGTGTTCTCTACGCCAAATGGTTTAATCTTGAAACTGTCTTGACAACATCATCAGTACATAATTTAGTTATAAGTGGCTGAATAAAACCTCTCCGCAATCGATTGGGTGTTGTGTCTGTTAACTTAGGACTTGGTTTCTTGTTATTCATAACTGTGTGACCGTTGTTTAGATGTATGTTTCCGTTGTTTCTACCTATAACGTTGTAGTTGTTTTCCCTTCATCTTGTTAATTGGTGGATCGAGTCTTTTTTAATATGTCTAATGGTAAGCGCGTAATCAAAGTCCCAAGCTTCTAAAAATCCTCTTGCTTTTTTGTGTGTTTCCTTTGCCTTATATTCTTACATTTCCTAAGTCAAATTGATGTCATAGTTGTTCACATGAACTGATATTGACGAAGTTATGTTGATGCATTTAACAGCTTATTAGCATTAACTTATATTTAAGCAGAACGAGCGGCCACTAAGTCCTGTACAGAACACGCTGCTAGTCAGTTGTGGTGAAATTCTAATAAGTAACTTTATATTGAGGTTTGTATTGATAATATAGTCAGATATCATCAATAACAGTAGCGTATGTAAACTCTTTTATTCATTCAGTTAGGGTCATTTTCATGCATCTATGTGAACTGGTTCTATTTACTTTAAACTTTTTTATCTTTCTTATTAAAAGTTTCTTCCGACTGATAGTACTTTCATGTTATCTGTGATACTACTGCTTTAAACATTTAATAATGCAACTTCTAATGAAATAATTTTTACGCCAAGCAAAGTTACCGTGCATGACACATGAAAAACTCGTAACATTATATCTGTATGTTTCGACGTTGTAAGAAAATAATAATAATAATAATGAATCAAAGACTTGTATATTGATTTGTATTATATGTTATTGTCCCTTGTTATTATAACGTGGTGAAAAATAAAAACGATAACAAAAAAGATGATTGAGAACGAGAACACGGAAATTCAAAATGCACATGATCGTGTAATAAGAAACTATTATAGCAACCCTCCCTAAAATTAAGTTTGTTCACGCTTAATTTCGTCGAACCCTTTAATTAACTTATTTAACAGACAGTGTTATTCGAACAGTAACAATCTATTTACTTCTTTGTATTATTATTATTATTATTATTATTATTATTACTATTATTATCACTATCATGTCTGTACAAACATGTATGCTTGATCACATGAGACAGCCTACCCACATATCCCTCTCTCTACCTGCTTAAATATCGCTCGATGAATCATTCGCTTTCCCGTATGAATATGTTCTCGAATCTTATTAATGGCATTTGCTTTGTTTCGCCGCACCTTAATTCGACTTGACTATAAATCTGTCTCTGTGTTTGCTTGATTGCACACATTAGTCTGTCTGCTCCAAAGCCACTCGATGTGCTTGTAATTGTGATCTGTGCTATCCAATAATATAATTTAAAGCAATTAGTCCCTTTTATAAATTTCGATAGAACAATGAGTAGACGGAGTTGATCTGATCCAATAATAAACTGCAATCGCCGCTTCGTATTGTCTTCTGAATCCATGCCCCGTTGGTATTAATTTAGTAACGGTTATCAGGGTGATTGATAAACGAAGCTAAACAAATTATCTCGAGGTTAAGCCACTACATTATGGATAGTCATCAAACTGATTTTATTGATAACAATTATGATTTATAGATTAGTATGTAGTGCCCTTTTCTTTTAATTGTGAATATAAAATTACTTTTGATAAAGTAAAATGAATATCATTCTCTTAAAAAAGAGTTATAAGTGATGAAATCGTTAAAGTGATTTATATTTTCTTTTTTTCGGATACTTTTTATCAGCTTAAACTAGTCAATAGACGCGAATAAAACCAATTCGTAATAACTTGGATTAAATATACGCTTCTACATAAACTATAAGTGAATAGCACTTTCAACTACTCATGAGCATTATTTAAAATATCAAATTGTTGTAACCGCGAATTCAGATTTTATTTTTTCATTTTGTATTTTAGATAAAATCTTAAATAAAACCACTGCTTACTCCAAGTATTATTTTTATTCTTATTCCCACAGAGAATAATCATTCATCCATACTGTATACTTTTGTCTAGTTTTTTCTTTATAATCTATTTTTTCATAAATCTTCCATCTTTTATTTTTGTATCCGATATTACAGATGTATTTTAAACACAAGCGTTGATTTGTAAACTGACAGAGATTGCTCCAGTTGTATCTTGATGAAATGTAATTTTTGTTCTCTTGCCTTATCTTATACCTTTCCTATTTTATACAACTAAAAGCGTAATGCTAACTGGAATATTCCAGTTTTTATTTTAATTATGTTTCCGACTTGTCAATAATTATGCTGATTTCTTGTTTTTTTGTACCACGTATTACCACTTTGTACTTTTTTTAAAAATGTTAATTATGTAGAATAAAGCGATCATTGTTTTTTTCCAATTTGAGTAGAGCAAGATAACATTAATTATTATACTTTGAAATTTGTCATCATTTGCTTACAAACTTCTATTGAATCCAAAAAATACCACGTATTATTGCACAGTTGGTTGAAAAAGATCATTCCTAAGCTGTAATCCTAAACTTATTAGAAGATGACAGTCGCACTGTGACGTTCGAATCCGCGTCATCCATTGTTAATTAATGAAAATACTACTAAGTTGTTAAAGTTTTAACTAACCTTACTTGGGATTGAGATATTTACTAATTAGTTAATATTCAGTAATCAAATGGTTATAATATTAGTGATCGTGTTTACCTGAAATGACAAATGTTAACATCGAAGATGTTGCCATGCAATATCAATAATGATTGTTCTCAAAAACAGAAAGACTAGGTCCAGTTATATGTAACCTGAGAAATGGCAAGATTGATTACACGATTTCATTAGATTCGAATTCACTTCCTACTTTACGTAATCCATCAGAGTCAACGTCAGCCATAAATTTATTTTCAGCACTGAAAATGGATTCCATTTTATTTTTGTAATCGGATATATTCATAACAACGACACCTGGTCATTTATCAGGTCTAAACATAATAATGTCAGCATTATTTCGCATTTCTTTTAACGACTTGAAGTGCTGAGAAGTTAATATGCTTTTCTACTTTGGTCCATGAGAATGAAACTGGTGTGCTATATCCACTTGTTTAGCTTAACACCAACTTTGACTCTAAGGATGTAGGAACTACAGTACTCAGTTGATGAATTAATTAATTGATTCATTAACTAACTAAATATTTATTTCAAGTGTCAGGAATATGACTACAAATAATTAGATGTTACATAATTTCCCTGTTGAGAACATTTGAACCATAAACTCTGGATTTCTTTTTAACAGGATGAAGAATGTAAATATGTACCTATGTTGCTCTTTTTCTAGTGTACATACCTTGTTGAACACATTAAGCTTGGTAAGTACTGTTAGCGATAATATGGTGATATTTTACTGTTTTATCGAACATATCGTCTTGACAGATGTATAAGTATTCTTAAAACATATTGATTAGTTTATAAGTATCAATGTCAAGGTTGGACTTGATAGTTTCAAATTAATTGAGCACTGAGTAGGAAGTTAATAGCAAATATATGTTCTGTTATCTCAATGAGTAGATAATCACGTAAATCTAAATCTAACCCTCATGATTAAGATAAGTACTTTGTAGACAATTTAGACAGCTTTAAAAGCAACAACTTTTGTTATTTTCCTTTCTTCATAGAAATCAGTTTACAGCACTTTAAATAAAAAAGGAATATTACTATTGCTTAGATTAGTAATTGACTAAGTTAAAGATTGTAATATCTTTACCTGTCACATCATTAATCTACCTGCGCGAAAATTAATATCTCTCCGTTTAGTTATTTACAAAATAAGCTAGGGATTAATATTCGAATCAAGCAAGTTTATTTATGATCAATGAAATAATATTTCATTAAACCTCACTGTAGATCGTTCACTGATCAATATTCAGATAAATGGTTGCATGATCAAGTTACGTAAAAGCAATCTTGACAATATAATTGACGTAAACATCACTATTCACAATTCCTATCCAATAAGTAATCATAACAATGTGAAAAAACATTGGACAGTTCAAATGAAGATAAAAATTCTCAAACGTTAATCAGATTATTATTTACTTTACATCTTGGTTGCGTATCTCTATATTTTCATAGATGAACATTAATCACTAATCGATTGATATTCACAAAAGACTGAACTGTAATCACAACCTAGTAAAACGTAGATTAATTTTTACCATTGTATGATTATGAATGAATGAGATTATACACTACATTAATCAATTAGATGTAATGATGTTGCATAATCTAGTCAAGATTATCAAATATTTCAAGCATTGCAAACAATAATTTATAATTAGAAGTGTGTTATTTTAACGAAATCAAAGTATTCAAATATTGAATAAAATAGATTTAGATATCAGAAGGGGTTTTGTGGAGATTGTAGTAATCTCAATAATGGAGATCATGAAACAATTGAAGCTAAACCACCATGGAAAACCTGGAAGCACTGAACGGTCTTTCCGTCCTATTATGGGACTCCTCAGTAATGCGCGTCCAAGACCCCGCCCCACGGGATTCGAACCCTGGGCCTATCAGTCTCGCGTGCTAGTGTTTAACCACTAGACCACCACAGGACGAAACGGCCGTCCGGTGCTTCCAGGTTTTCCATGGAGGTTTAGCTTTAATTGTCTCATGATCTCAACTATTAAAGTAGGTTTGTTTCACCGAAACGTTCTCATTCATTTTAATAGGGAAATAATTAGAAGAAATTTGCTTATCAATTTGGTTGATATCGAAGTTACAAAAATAAATTTACCTAATCACCATTTATCTAAATATGATTTTTAAGGTGATGGAATACATATTTATTTATTTACTTAAACACATAAATATTGGTACAAAGGGGTACCGAATACCTATGCACCACACACGTCACTTGGTTTGTGTCTGAGCTGTGGTACTGCTCGGGGCTCCCAGACTGAGGCAGGTGGTTTTCTAAGAGAGACACACCCAGAGCCTTCGACCTACTGGTTTAGTCCATAAGGCAGTAGGGCAACGTAAGGAGATGTAGTCCCATGGTAGCCAGTGATCGATAATTGATTCATGCACCATCTGTTCCTTCAGGATCCTGGAGCCCATGTGCACCATAGGTTTGGGATCAGGGTTTTCCAATCCACTTGGGAGGATCCTCCATATCCACCAACCCGGTTAAATCTCCGAACATTCACTTTTGGTCCTCTCAATTTCGTAAACAACACCTCTCTTCGCGAGAAGCCAGCGAGTAGGACTTCTCCTGGCAGTGGCTGTACACGCGTGGCCATGTGAGAGCATTTCGAGTGGAAGAGCTGACTCTCCCCACTTTCGGCCGTACCATAGCATTTGTGACTAACGTTTATACTCATCTCAGTGAAATTTAAAGAAATTCTTATCTTCTATTTGAACAGTCACTAATTTTTTAATACAGTGATTTTTAATCGATTTTTTGACGCAGTCATGTTTTCTCAAGACAGTTCTACACATTAAACTGATAGAATTGCCAAATCCGTCATGCCAAAAGTAAGGCTGTTAGACCCTAATCTCAGATGCATGTTATTAGTTTAAGTGAAGACATTTGAAGAATTACAAAACTAAATATTATTTGGCAAAATATTAACATCAAGTCTTAGTAGACTTTCATTTTATTTTAAGATTACAATAGTCAAAATGCTTCACTGATTCAACCACTTAATGATCTCATAAATTTATTGTAATCAGATAACTAAACTATAATACTGTAGCATACATAGACACAAAATGGTGTAATTAGTGCACTCTATTTGGAAATCACCCCAGATATATGACCACTAATATTTATGAGGCATTGGACGGCTGCTTCATTTTTAGTATGACGCTTCTCAGTGGTAAACATCTATGACTGATGTCATTTCAGCAAATTCAAAGCCTAACTGTTGTATTATTTTACGAATTATGTTTTACTACTTATAAGTAGGTAGTGCATTTTAGCAAAGGCTTCATAACATAGTAAAGTGTATGGTAAACTCAGAGTATGATAATGCTATGATTTTGAAACAACCAGTTATCTTATGTACTCATTACTTGCAGTTTCTAACGTATTACCGAATACTGTCCAGGAGATAGTCTTTTAAGAATTCATGTTGTTGTCTGTTGAATTATATAACGATTTGAATTTTCCTGTCTTTGACATGGAAGATTATACTTGAATTATTATACGTGAATTTTGTTTATTAGTTTAGTATTTCAACAATTTATTAAGAGGTACTGATGAGCTAGTCGTTTTGCAAACTGAAACCCACTATTTATTCCAGTAAATAACTATTTCAGTAGTATTCAATTAGTTTTGCAACCTCTTGTCAATCTTTATTATTCATATACATTTTATGTCAGATAAACATCGTAAAAGTTCAGGAGGAAATCACAGATTCTTGTTAATAGATTATTGTGTCGTATATCAGACAGATTCCATATTGGTTTGTATAGCGATAAGAATTCCGCAATAATCACTTAGTGAGGTCAATAGAAGGAAATGACTTTACTTAATATAATAATATAACTACATTCTCATGTAATTTCTATACTTTAGAATAAATAAATTTTAAACAAAGGGAAATAAGGTATTACAAATCAGTAATAATCAATCTTTTGGAATGGGGTTGTGGAAGTTGCTGAATGTTATTTAAATCATGAACCGATCTAAGCGAGACAACTATCAAAAATCTGGGAGCAACACACAGTCGTTCCGTTCTAGCACGGGACTTTTATAAGTGCATATCCACGGTCCCTCAACTGAAAATCAAGCAAAACAACTTTGGTCTTGTATTCGGACTCTTAAACCCTGGACTACTGAGCCGGAACTCATCGGTGTTAATGTCTGTACTCACTCATTTCACAACATTGTGTAATCATCTAGCATCGTCTTCGTTAGGTAACTACCTCACACTCGACACAGATTGTACTCCACTGGTCACTGGTTCTCACTAGAACTCCGGAGATTTCCTCTCAAACCTAAACCATTTTTAGGTTTGATATTGTGTTTTTAATAACAGGAAGATAATGAGTTATTTTTAGTTCTTATTAGTATGAACTACCGGTTTATCAAAGATAATAGTCACGCTCGTTTAACGGAACATGTTTCATAACTTTATCATTTATCAAATACAATGCAATGAAAAAAATTTTCTTTTCGATAATGTAATTTTCTTAATGTGTAAAATTGTATTTATAACAACTGAACAAATACAGTAATCTGGCTTGTGTTTACGTGATATTCCTTCATTAAAATGTAGACATTTAGCAAATCTTATCTGTTGAATTTGTTCACATCACATCCTGAGAGATATTTGATGACTTAATTTAGATAGTTTTCAGTCTTAAGTTTTAAACACATTATTTCAA